GGGTATAAGGTTACTACCTATAAAATGATAGTTTAGTAGGTGTCCACTCTCACCCACTACTTCCTTGACTGGTGGAGGGTCGTTAGCCAAACGAGTTTGATAAGACATTAATTATCCAATATTTAAAAGTATAATGATTAATATAAAGTAATTAAACCTTATTAAATTCCCAATCTTAGTTACGTTAGGAAAATATGATTTGGTGCTAACCCATGAAGTTACACTTTGTGCCTTACCAAGTCGTTGGTGGAGCGTGTGTGGGTAACCGACACACTACCATGGACTAGTATGAGTGGCAAATGGTAGCTTAATATTTATCATAGATTGGTGGAGCACGTGTGGGTAACCGGCACATCGATTAGATGATAAAAATTAAGGGTACCAAGTTAATTTGCATGGTTATTCACACCTTGTTTGTGATCCTTGGCATCCCAATCACAAACTTGAGAGGACACAACCGAGATTTAAACATGCCATTGAAAAGTTCAATGAATATCAAAAGATCTAGGAGTTTTAATCCAATTAAAACCCTATTAGATTTTCATGGTGGAAATTGGTGAATCATCATTCGACTGCCTTCAAATATTTTATAGCTTTGATTACGGCATCCCTCTTCCAAGTTATAAAATATTGTGTTGGGTCCTAGCCTTAATATTACATATTGGGTGTTATATTAAGGACTTAAATCAGCTAACTTGAATTTCTCCCTTTGTAGGTGTCTAGGTCAGACAATTATGATCTTTCCAAATCCCTTGGAACAAGCTCTCCTAATGAAGATGATATCCCACGATTAGATCATGGAAATCATACTTCTCTTCCTCCACCTCCTCCAATTATTCTCCCTAACCCACAAGTTGTTGAAAAGTTCAAGGTCACTCAATCCCTATTGGCGAGCAAAGTCTATATGTGCTTACATCTTGGATATGAAATTTCATATTGACAGGCTGGGAGAGTTGGGTGTCGAAGTCTCAAGGTAGCTGGCTGTTGACTTGGTTCTCCAATCACTTCCTAATGACAGATCACGACATGACCCTTAATGATCTTACTTATTTGCTTGTTGCTGCTGAATCAGCAATGATATAGGGCACTAGTAAAGAAAATTTGATTGGAAGATCTACTTCCCAAACATAATTGGACATTAACAATGGATACATTGGAAGTCTAGAAAAGTATTCTCTTCGAAATGGAAAGGGATCAGCCATAGTCAACCCAGTTGACCAAATGGTAAAGAGAAAGGCTAAGTATGAGATTGTCCCATGTACCATTACTAATGAATCGATATGTTTATATTGCCAAAAGAAGGGGCATTGATTGAGAAGCTGCCCTATTTACCTGAAAGATGATAAGGATGGTAAAGTCAAAAAGTTTGACTCTACTTTGGGTAAAGTCCAATATCTAACTCTATTAAGTTCCTATTTGGAGATTCTTAATACATGATGTGACTAGGTCGCATATTGATGTTTTGTAGAATCAAAGAAAAGATAGGAAGCTTATAGGAAGAGTAAGTTGATTCTGATCGTGAAGATGGTTTCTGATCGCATGGTTCGATGATCAGAATTTTGAGCTGCTACTTAAGAGTTATGATATATTGCTTAGGAATATATAACATGTTTTTCATATGCATTTGCATTATAAGGATAAGTTTTTTCCGCAAGTTTTAAATAAAAGGAAAGTTTTGATTTTATTTTAAATTTCCTTACAATGAAATTTGTGAAAAAGAAATTGTTGTTAATATGATTCCATTGATAGCAATATTGAAAATTTATTTGATTCTTCCGTTTGTGGTAGTGTCATAATTTACTAAATAAGGAAAGATTCTCACCACCCAAGTTTTAGTTGGATAGAAACTTGGAACCATGCAACTTGTATTGTATGATGAATGAGAATTTCCCATCTTTGGAAAATTAAGACAATAATTCCTTGTTCACATGTATTTGTGAGTCAAGTGAATAACTAGGGGATCAGGTACACTTGGGTGTGCGCTGAACAGGTCCACCACAAAGATAAATAAGATTATTCATCATGATTTACTAAATATGTTTATACTTACAAGTTTAAGTATAATTCTGAAACATTGGAAAAGTTTCAATGTATGGCAGAACGAATGAGTAGAATCAAATTAGGTAGAAAGATAAAAGTTTCTCTAATCTGAAAAGATGGGAGAGTACTTTAGTATAGTGTTTTATGATTATCTTAGTGATTAAGAAACCATATCACAATTGATCATCTAAGGACATCTTAGTGAATTTGTATGACTAAGAATAGGAATCGTGAATTGTTGAAATGGTTAAAATCTAAAACTTTACATGCACCTAATTTGAGTTTACTTGCATTTTCATTTCAAAAAAATGAAATTGCTCTCTTATATGCATTTAACCACTCATATAACTCTTCAAACCCTACCAATATAATCTATCATTTTGTGTTGATATATATGCAATATGCAAGCTACAATGTTCTTATATAGGGTAAATATTTTATTTAACTCATCAATTAAGTAGCATGATATGAAGAGTTTTGGGAGTTACAAATCAAAACATTTCAATTATTCATAAATTAAATTGTATATTTTAAATAATCTTGAGAGTTTCAAATGAAAGAGGTTCAAGGAAAATGCTTACTTTATAAGATAACTAGACGAATATCCGCGCGTTGTGCAAAATTATATAGTTAACCTTTTAGTAATCATATGTCATTGAAAATATTTTTGTCATTTATATTAACTAAAAATTTATTATTATTACATATAGAAATTTTTTTGGAAAGGAAACTTCCCTAACGAGGGTTTCCGGGCCAGCTTTCACATACCGACTAATCCCCAACTGCAAACATGAGGTTTTGCTTCATTTCCTAGAGTCACTGCAGACAAACTTTCATGGCCACAAGGGCTCCATGTAACATTATAATTAATTTGAACAATAGATAATATAACACTTACTAAAATCGAATCATTTAATGGTATCTACTCATGCTTTATGTGTGTATAAATTAGTTATATTTCTTATCTATTTTAATTAACTAATGTAATGATTTATTACCTTTAAAGAAAAATTGACGACCTTTTAATTTCATAATGATACTTATTTAAATTATCAACCATTGTTTGTGCTGTAACATAATTTAATTCATTATTTTATTTTATTTTAACTATTATCATTATAAATTAATTTTCAAATAATTTAGCTGAGTTTTAGTTATTATAAAAAATAGTTTTTGGAGATCTTTTAATTAAGTTTTACTATTAGATTTATGTTCTTTTACATTTTTTGTATTTAATATTTTCCTTTTAACTCTTGTAAAAAATATACATTGAGTTTTTTTTTTAAACTTTAATTGATATTTTACTTTAGGTTTTAAATTGTACACTATATTTTTAAGTTTGTTTGATATATTAATTTAGGATATGAATTTAACACTATATTGAAGTTATTGATAATTCATGAAGTATTCCATTTATGATGATATTTATAATTAATAACATATTTAAGTTAGAAATTATATTATAGAGAAATATGAAAAGTTGGGAGTTTCAAATTTATATAGTGAAAAGAAAAATGTTTTATTTATAAGTATAGTATGATAGGCGAATATCCACACATTGTGCGTAATAAAATTATATACTTAACATTTCAGTAATAATATATCAATGAAAATACTTTTGTCATTTATATTAACTAAAAAATAATTATTATTACATTTAGAAATTTAGTTAATGTAAAATTATAATTATTTTGAACAATAGACAATATAACATTTAATAAAATCGAATAATTTAATAGTATATAGTCACGCACTTTACGTGCGTATAAAACTAATTATATTTCTTATATATTTTAATTAACTAATATAATGATTTATTAACTTTTAAGAAAAATTGACGACAGTTTAATTATGTTATTTTAATAGTTATTAATATAATTTAATTTAAAAAAAAAAAAAACTTAACTAAATTTCCATCTAGTTTTTGGATATCTTTAATTAATTTTACTTTTAGATTTATATCCTTTTATGTTTATTATATTTAATGTATTCCTTTTTATCTTTTGAAAAAAAATATACATTGAGTTTTTTTTAAAACTTCATTTCATATTCACTTTATGTTTTAAATTTTACACTATATTTTTAAGTTTGTTTAATATATTAGTTTTGGTTACACATTTAACACTATAATAAAGTTATTGATAATTCAAGAAGTCTTCCATTTATGATAATATTTATAATTAATAACATATTTAAGTTAGAAAATATATCATAGAGAAATATTAAAAGTTAGGAGTTTCAAATTGATCTGGTGAAAGGAAAAATGTTTCATTTATAAGTATAGTATGATGATATAATATGATAAGAACATTGGTTTATTTCATTTAAAATGATGGTCACTGCCTGCATGTCGCTATGCTGTTTTTGTTTATTTGTTGCAGTTTAATTTCATAACCTTTCCTTATGTTTCTTAAGTCATGAAAGTAAAACAAATTCTTTTTAAATGACGTGTTTAGATAATTTCTCTATGGGGTAACAAGCTATATATCAGAAAACATTATTTATGATTAAATTTCGTATTTGTAATATGTATGACTAATAATGCCTTTTAGTCTATGTACATGGCACTCTCTTTACTCTAGATCTGTGTTATCCAAACGATAATGAATCAATGGAAATTTTGGGGATGTAACATTATAGTATAGCGATTATTGCTTGATTTAACGAAAATGAGGTATCACTAGTAACCTGAACCCTATGATTGGGGTCATTTGAAGACTGACATGACTGTGGGTTATTTCTTAGAGAAACTTTTCAATATCACAACAAAAGAAAACACATCACTTTACACCAAAACTCAAACAAACTTCAACATAATATTAATCCAATAAAAACATCAACAAAAACCATGTAAAGTTCAAAGTAAGTAATTAAACATTCAAGTTCTGAAAAGAAAATAACATGAGAAACAAGTTCACATCTGTTTGACCAACAAAAAAGCACTATGTTGTAGCCAACGCTTATTTGTATAACTGCTTCAAAATTTCCGTTCGTGCTTTGTCCATCAACATCATCTTAATCTCCGACTGGTCATTAGAGGCCTCAGGGTTTGATGAACTTGCATTTAATGCAAGAACCACATCCCGACACATAGTAAAATGTGTAGGATAGTTATCACAAGTGAGTGGCACAGCAACAAAAAGATTGCCACATTTTACGCACACAAGTTCTTTGTTGGTTCTAGCATTGGAATAATGGAATCGAAACTTGCAACCAGGACACATGGTCCAAAATGTTTCTGTCAGCATGCACAAAGCTTCCAATAAAATTTTAAAGGCTCCTTCAACACCAGCCACATTATTTCTACCTTCCTCAACTTTGGCATGTAGCTTATTATAATTAGTGTATATTTCTTCAAAGGTTGCAGGTTTATTAATCAGATGTAGAACCCCATACCAATCTGGTTCACCATTTTTGATTTTCTGTCTTGAGTTATAAATGTTGTTAATGGTGATAAGCGGTGACTGTAATTCAACGCCGTTGATTCCCTAATACATAGAAGCATCAATTTTTAAACTAAAATATCCAATTACAAGATTAAAACGATAAGAAAAATAATTAGAAATCACCTGGAAATCTTTAAGACAGTCTTTTTTCTGGATAGACATTGAAGAATACAAAATCACCTGAAACCTTCGAGATGAACAATGAAATAAAATTTTGATGTTCTTCACAAGCAAACAAATGCTTTTATATTGTTTTTTTGGGGATAATGTGAATCATATATATATATATATATATATATATATATATATATATATATATATATATATATATATATATATATATATATATGTTTTCGCATTAATGTACATTAAAATTTTCATTTAATCATCGTAACAAAGTCAACCTCCTAAAAAAAAATTAATTTCGTCACACCATAAGATTTTGTAAATCCTAATGTAACGCCCGCAAGATACGGCTAGATAATTAAAGAATAATATGATAACTATTCTTTATGACGAAAAACAGGTGTTTCCAATAGAAGATTATTTAGGGAAAATAAACCAAATAAAAGTCGTAGTATTCGGAAAACCGAACTTGAGCAAATAAGGAACATTCATATCTGATTTCAAAAGGGGAAGTTGTGATTTTTCGAAAGTTTCAGCATAACTGTGTTAACACAGAGACCGTAATTCAAACCAGTCGATTGTTAGGAAAACAATGTTAAGGTGAGTTGAAGATCTCATCAATACCTATTTGTCCATATAAAGACAGTCAAGAACATATACCGTATGGAAGAGTTATGATTTTTACATAGATTTTAACTGTTTGGGCCTGTTAAAAATATTACTTTAAAAATAAAATGAAAACTACCCGATAGAGTCTAAACGAAGGTTCTAGATCTCGTCGATAGATATGCGTAGATACAACTAACGTCAAAAATGGTGTTTGTATGAAGAATATATGATTTTCTGAAGTTTTCCGAGAAGCGTCATACGTAGATAGCGTGCACGGCCCACACCTTCTAGAAGGTGGTATGTGGACCACCATATTTTGACATGTGGCAGAAAAACGGGAGGATCAACATCTTAGGTGTGCGCGGCGCACACAGTCTGGGCGTGTTGTGTAGGTCCTATTTTGACCCTATAAATAGCCAACCATCCTCATTTTTTTCCACACTTCCCATTCTTCTTTATATTGAGTTTTCTTCTATTTTGGCCTATATTCCCCTTGTTTTTGTCTTCGACAAAGCCCTACAATCTCTGAAGTAGTAGTAACTATCAAGTAGAAGCACTGCCAGAGCAATTTCCAAAATTCTTTTAGGAAATCTCTGTCTTTGGAAATTGTAAAGGTGAAGCGCTACCCTAACTTGGAGTCACCTACTTCTATCAAGTGAGTGAATAATTATTTTCATATTACACATAGATATGAAGTATTCTTAAATACTATGTGTACTTATATTTGTGTTCTTGACATGTGTGTTATATGCGATAAAGTGAAATGATTTTACTTGTATAAATTGCTTTATCATATTTAAATTGCATTGGGGTAGTAACGGTTTTAGGAAATAAATAACGGTGAGAGGCCATGTTGTAACATCCCAAAATTTAAGGCAAAAAATTTAATTTTAATAAGAGTAAAACAATCATCCAAAATGTGTTTATAAAACCATAAGAGAAAATCATAGCATGTCAATAATCATTCAAGTACATCATATCAACAAAGTGCAGAACATGGTGGTGTGTGTGATGCGATCATCCAGAGCCTTTCCTTTTCGATCCAAAAGTACCTGAAACATAAACTGAAAACCATAAGCATGAAACTTAGTGGGTCACTCAAAATACCTCCTACCATATATATCAAACATACAATAGGTCGTTCCCGATAACCGTCGGGCCCCGTCTGACATCGATCCCCGCTTGGAATAAATTTGTCAATGATATAAGATGGATGTTGCCTCATCACATTCATCAGGCTCCACTCGACATTCATACGGATAAAAAACACATGCAAGAATCACTAAGAGAATCAACATACAATAGATTCATCATGCCTCACCCGATATATATGGGAAAATGTCACTATAGCCCCACTAACTTACAAGTTTTGGTTTAAATGGTCCCTTATTTTATTTTTTTGGCTTTAGAAGGGCATAAACTAACATTTAACCGGCTAATTTGGGATTTTGACCCAATTTAACCGGTTTGCTTGCCATGTCATCATCCAAGTAAGCTACTTAGTCAACTCAGATGAGTCGGTTTACACGTCATCAACTCACCACCGAGTTCACTTACTTAGGCACTAAGGGTTAGGTGGTCCCGTACTATATAAATGGATGGTCTCTTGGACAAAACCCTAAGACTTCGTTACCACTTCCGGCCAAACACAACCTAACAAACAAAAATAGAATACTCGTCTTCCCTTCACTGTCTTCCATGGAGCCTACCCCACCACCATCACCAGATACTATAAACTCCAACAACTCGATTAACTCAAGAGACGAGATATACTTGAATCATTTGCACACGATTTTCTGCGACTGTGGTGATAAAATAGCCGAGCAAAAAGGTGAGGTGGAGCGCATGAAGGAGGAGATGGGTCGCGATTACCTTCATTCCAGGGTTGATGTCCTGAACATACAGCAAAGGTTCGAAAAGGTTGAGAAGCAGATTCAAGCTATTGCATTGTTAGTTGTGGTTCTTTTCGTGGTGATGCTCCTGCTAATGATTTTCGTCATTCACTTGATAGTCAGCAAGTGATTTTCAAGGAAGTGAATAGTAGTGGTATGATAATCTAGTGTTCGTTGTAATCGTCTATTATGTTTAAGGTTTTTGTTGTAATATATGTTATTAGGATTGTGTGCGTTCGTTTGTGTTTGTGGTAATCATGTATGATGTTTGTGGTAATCTAGTGGTGTTTGTTTACGGATGTTTTTTGAAGTCTTGGGAACATGTAACAGGCATTTTGATTTGTTGGGATCAATGTTCTTGATTAAGACTAACGATTTGGACACTTGGTTGGCTTAATTAATGAAATTTAATTGTTGTTGGTGCACCAACTGTGACAGATATTAATGAGGTCAAACATTGGGGTAATTTCATCAAGGGGTATTTTCGGAATTTACAATTTAAGAACTTACTTCCTTACTCGGCTGGGGTATTTTCATCATTTGCTCTTTATAAGTACTTTACCTCCTTTACTCGGTAGTACATCCCATTTCTTTGTACATGTTCGTGTTTGCATTTTGAAGTATCTTGGAAATAACGAAGCAAAAATGGTGAAATGCTCATGTGGATGTTTGGCCATAATCAGAATGTCTTCCACTCCATCAAACCCTGGAAGACCATTCTATGCTTGCCCCACTAAGGTTTGTTTGACTTTCTTTATCAGGTAACTGTAGACCTAATTTATTTCTTTTTATCATTGCATTCTACACATCTAACTTCTAAATTGATTTTGTTAGGGACCTCGTAATGGTTTTATTTGTTGGGTAGAAGAAGTAGACACTAAGAATAGGAGTGCTGAAGCAGTTATGATTGCAGGATTGGCTAGGTCAAAAAAGAAGCTTGAATCAAAGATTTGGAAACTGAAGATGTCTTTAGTTCTAAGTTGGATTATTTTCTTTAGCATAATTGTGTACAAGTTGTAATTCGTATGTAGCAGTTTTTTATGTCCTTGTCTGAAATACCCCAACTTTCGTATTTATGAAAGACCTAAACTTTCATACTATTTCAAAAGATTTCTTAAGTTACTTCATCAAAACATGCTACATGCATATTTATAAAACAATATTTTATATTGATAAAGTGATTACAAAAGATTGGATACAAACCGACTAAGTTTTATTACATTTCATATCTACCCAGGAATATACTATTCATATACATACATGAACATTAAAATACAGAGAAATACTATTAATTATTCTAAATCTTTCAGCAGTATAAAACTATATTGGATACTCATCACCTGCAATTGTTAAACATTGAGAGGAATAAGCAATAACGGTTAGTGAATTCAATAAATAGATACAATATAATCTTATGCCTTATATATACTTCAATGTGGCAAAAGCAAAGAGGAACAACAAGACATATGTGAAATCATGTGACAAGCGTTCATATCAATCAAAGACTTTAATCAAAGATATACTTTTCAATGAGACATAACGATTTCAATACTTGATATGCATCAATAAAGCGTTTGCCCAAATGGCACAGAAGACATATAAATTTCTGATTAACATTTTGGTAGATTTCAAGCTTATAGCCCTGTCTAACCATTTGCCAATACCATAGAATAGAGTTCATTCTATTACAGAGTCATGCTCTACATGGTCAGAGGCTACATATCATTCCTATCAAACCTTATGCCAATGCCATAAAATAGAAGTCATTCTCTTACGGAGACATGCTCTACATGGCCAGAGGCTACGTATCAGTACCAATGTGAATCTAAGTCCTTTCACTGATCACATGGTCAAAGGTATTATATTTGCTATAAACATAGCGAATAAAATAACATGGAAGAATAACTCAGAATAATAACACTGAGAAGCATATAGCACATATAACACATAACATACAATTGTTCCTACATATTGAACTCACCTTAAGTTAACCGGGGTTAAAGTAGTAATTTCGACAGCATTTCGGCTTTAAATATGACTTTCTATGTTGAAAACCGGAAGCTTAATTGAAAATCGGGCTCTGTGAAGGTAGGGCTTCAAAACCGAAAAGATAAAATTTTCAGGTTTCTCGGGGGTCTCGGGGCGTGTTTCGGGTGCTAAAATTGATACTGGGGCTTCGGGAAAAGTCAAAATAGTGAAAATATGGAAAAAGGGGCTAAAATTGGAAATTTTCAAATTCCAGTCGGGAGGGTTCGCACCCTCCTATTTATAGGCGAGGGTTCGGCCGAGAAGGTGACTCAGCGAAGACACGCGGCAGTTGCGCAGGGCTCCAGCAAGGCTCGGACGGAAGGGTGACGAAGCAGCTCGGTGGCTCGGCTCGCAGGTAAGCACGCGTCACATCCGGATTGGCTCGCACTTCGGTCCACTTAGCATGCGACACACGATGCTTTTCGGAACGGCCACATCTCCGGTGACGCTGCTGCTTCGTGCGAAGTGACGTGGCAGCGACGAGGGTCTCCGGTGGCTGTACTGTTC